CTCTTTAATACAACGGATGCTCTAAATAATCGTATGGATTTCATACTATATATGTATTACAATGTGAATTTTAATATGGGGGTAACTTGGTCAGTCGACTTGTTTAGACTCGGCCAACTGAGGTGACCGGTTTAGTGACGACTTTGTCATGTGTTGATCGGTTGAGACGCCCGGTTGAGTGTTGATCATGTCCGCCACGATAAAAGAGGGTCGATCGATTAACTGTGAACAAGAATTCCCACCTATGCCTCCGTCGGTCGGTACTGTCAGCATGGTTTGCTGTTAAAATCTCTTACCATAGTGTGTCAATCGATTCTTAACCACAAGGTTGACAGTAAAACGGTAGGACGCCTTGATTGTCTGATTGTCATTTAGTTCTTTTGAATGATTTGAAATTCGTGCTGACAGTTGTGGTGTATATAATATTTAAATTTGAAACAATCATGTCTTATTAGTTTGATAATCATTTTTAAAATAATGTTAATTAATTAACTATTTTACTAATCATACTTACATAATAATTTTATAATTTTTTAAAATTAACATACTAATAATAATGAGAAATTTTCTTGATACACACTTTTTTATGCATTTACATATCTAATATTTAAAATTTATCTTTATATTTATTGTATGAATAAAAGACATTGAACTAGATCCGAATCAAGACATAATATATAAAGAAAAATCAACCCCGACTAAATTAAGGACCGGCCTCTATAAATTACCACCGTGCCATCCTCATAACCGAAACACCCAGTAAGCACGACAAAGCAGCAACAGAGCACCTTCTTCTTCAGAAGCCATTCATGGAGACCCTTAATTCCTTCAAGGGGTACGGCAAGATGGATCCCGCCGACGACCGCGCATTCCGGCAGAAAACCAGGCGGCGCATAATCCTCATCATCGTCTCTGCTTTTCTCCTCCTCCTTATCGTCACCACCGTCGCCATCGTTCTCTCCATCAACAAACGAAACACCTCCGACAAACCATCTTTCCCCCGATCTCCCATCTCTACCTTCGCTTCCATCAAAGCCATCTGCAGCGTCACACTCTACCCCAATTCCTGCTACGATTCCCTCTCCTCCGCCTCCATCAACTCATCAGCCATCGTCACCGACCCGATGAGCCTCTTCAACCTCTCCCTCTCCGTCGCCTCCCGCGCCCTCTCTAATATCCCTTCCTTCCTCTCCACTCTCAAAATTCCATCCGCCGA